TTTTTTTTTTTTTTTTTTTTTTTTTCTATGTTGAAAATATAGATATTCTTGTTTAAAGACTTGACTAAAGCAATAAGAATTTTCAGAATTAAGTGAACGTCTAAGCATTGCTACTTTTATCTATAGTATATATATTGTATAGATCTGAGATATCGTGTGAATACTTTGTAAGATATGATAAAGATATGACAGTTTTTAGTTTTTTCTTTTTTCTTTTTTTTTTAAGAATGCAAAATGCTCTTTGTTAACGATATATTGTACTAGTTGTTTTGTTTCTGATCTAGGTTAATAGCGAAAATATGAGTGGCAATGCGCATCAGGAGTACATATTGGACGACGACGAGTGTCCCTTGGCAATATTAATGAATCATCCTTCTACTCGAGGTAAGAATTTTCGACTTTCATATAAACTCTTTAGGTTTACTTACGCACAATCATAACTCTTACGAGCAATTTTCTTTTTGTATTATCGTTCTATCTATCTATCATAGAAAGGAAAGATGTTTAGGTAAGCAAAATTAACTATGATTGTTTTTAGGATTTATCTCTGACGAGTGCGATATTCTCTAAACAATTTATACAATTTTTATCTGTTTATTGTGCCCGTGTGATTGTATGAAGCATGTCTGAAACTTTGCATTTGTATTCTATTAACGAGCTTCTTTGATTTGTGGGATCGATCCTTTTCTTAACAAAAGCATCTTTTAAGCCCAATCATTAGTTAAAGTGCACGAAGAAGAGAATAATCTCGGAAAGAAAAATGACTTAGTACTCGTAGAGTATGATGAGGACTTACGTTATATGAAGGGGACGAAAAGAGGAATGAAAGAGCTCGTCGGAGGAAAGATAAATTCATGGGTGTGCGTGAAAGCACGTTGGTATCAGCTGATAAGGGCGCAAGTTTGACGAAGGGAACGAGAGGGGGGAGAGAGAGAGAGAGAGAGAGAGAGAGAGAGAGAGAGAGAGAGAGAGAAGGAGGGAGGGAGAGAGAGAGGGAGAGGAAGGGAGGGTGGGTCGACGGAGACGAAGTGAGGGTGGTTGAAGAGGGCTGGCGCAGGGAGAACAACCGGTGCCGACATCGGTCCCGTTCTCGCCTCAGTTGACTCGCTATCGTCGGTACCGGCGCCAGTGCGCGGGCGCCATCGTCGCCGCCTTGTCGCTGTCTTTGTCCTCATTCTATCGTCGTCATTCGCGGCGAAATGATCGTCCGTGATTCCGGTAATTGATGCTCTCGAGCCGAAATTCAAGTGACGTGCCGTCGTGCAACGTCATCGATCCCATCAACGGCGAAATGATGATAGTCTCGAAGTATCTCACGTGAAATCGCTGGAGATTCAGAGCTGTGCTGTCTTGTAGACGTACAATTTGATTTCCCCAAATATTCCTTATTCAATGAAATTCGCATATCGAAATCGAGCTTTTCATAGTCAGGCTCTTACCTCGCGTTGCGCGTTCAAGATTGAAGAAGGTCTAACAAGAGTGTCGTTCACCCGCGGTGGTGATCCTTTAACTTTCCTTCGTCTCGACGAAGCAAATAGCTGAGCTATTCGTCACGACAACGTGCATAAATACTACGCGAAACTATTAATAGCCCACGGCGAACCCCGCTGACCTACCGTCGAAGCAGCACAGCAGAAAATTCACAGAGATAAAGGCGGATCCACCCACGCGTCTGCAACACAGTAATCGCACGAGACAATTGCAATCGCGTAAACGCGAGGCGTCATCGAACGGTGATTGGCTCATCAGCGACATATCAAAAGAAGAACACGTAATAACGAGAGCGGATCCACCCACTTGGGCCGCCAAATTGCGTGTCCTCTCGCAAGGAAGTATAACAGCAGCTGTTACGCTTTACACACCTCGCAAACACGACATGAAGCGTTAATAATTGGCATCATCGGACCCGATTGACCCATCGTTGACATATCAAAGGAGGTTAACAACGAAAGTGGATCCACCTACGCATATGATCTCTCTCCCTTCAATTTCATGCTGAGGATCAAACGACTACCAAATAGCATCTAATGCGACATACTGATCGACTCACTGATAAACGTAATCCAACTTTAAATGATCTCACGTCGATTTATCATAAAGACAAGAAGAGAGATTTTTAACAGCAGACACGCGGTGTTGTAATGTCTTTGTAATCTCGTGGAGCAAAGTTACTGTTATAATTGTACGATGAATAGCATATAAGTCATTAATAATCCACGACAAATAGTTGGTTATTGCAGAAATGCGAGCACAAAAAACGAAGCAACGAAGAAACGTGATACTCCGCAATCACAAAATGATGAATGATCGCTGTAGTTGCGTGGAGAAATTGAATCTGATTGTTAATCAATAGTCATCGTGACCCAGATCGTCTCTCCCCAACGAAACACCGCGGAACCCGCAGTATTAACGTAGGCGACACGACACGTCAGCGGGAAAGTTTAATTCACGAAGGTGTGAGAATCGAGCGGTGCATCGCGGAAAATGACGACGATGCGAAAGCTCAAGGATGGATCGGTGCAATCTTGTCTGGATCTTCATGATGATCGATGATGATCGCCGACAATAACGCAATCCACGGCGGCGCTTTCGAAACACGCCTCGGTGTTCCTTCCGCGAGAATGTGCTGCGATGTCGCGGTCGTTTCGTTATCGAGCGTCACTTGTTTGTGACTGAGCGATCTTGACAGTCGCACCCTCGCGCTTATCGATCTTCGCAGCATCGCCGTGCGTATGTGGAAATTTCGAGCGAGAGTCGTCATCCACGAGGACGAGACCTACGAGATTAGCCTGGTTATCGAGCGGCGCGTCTCGACGAAAGAGCGGCTGCTCTATGCGAAGCCACGGCGAAGTGCGCAGGTGTCTGTTTGACCAATAACACGTGACGGCGATCATGACTACGCTTTACATCTGCTTGCAGATGTCAAAGTCGATTCGGTCGACAACGGCCGATGATTCATCATCGGCGATGATACGCGGTGATTTCTATGGGACACCACGACGAGACCGCGCAGCAACGTCCTCGTTACAAGGCCATTAATTATCGTGTAATCCTTGCAGATATATTATCCATGTGAATCTTCACGAACTATTGTCGTGCGTCGATCTTCCTGCTGCGAGTGCGTCGTTGTACGTTAATGTCAAACGTCGCAAGAATGACAAAGATACTGATTCGGAAGTCTCGAATCATCGATCGATGCGGGATCGACGAGGTGTTATCGACTCGCACTGGCACATGAAGATTCCTCGTGAAGTCCTGCAGAAGTTACTCGTACGATCGTTATCAACCTGACCGGTAATTATGACACTACGACTCGCCCGGGAACGCGATCGGCCACGATCGATATCAGAAATGATATATCGTGGGATATCATTGTCAACAGAAGAATACCCGGCAAACGAGGTCTTGGTGTGACTATCAGCGCGATAATAGGACACGTATAGTCCTCGTGCTCAGCGTGACGTGTTTACACGACTATTAACGCCACCGCAGCTCGTGTCTGTGAGCCGCGCACATATCGACATCATCCGCAAGCATATCATCATCGATGCCGATTACCATATCTGTAACGGCAGCATCGGGATTCCGACGGAAACGCGACCGGCCGAGCAGGTTCGTGAAGCTCCTCGATCGCAAATAAAAGACGGACGACGTAAGAAGTGTTAACTCAGCTGACTCTTGTCAAATGTTCGAATGTGGGGGATGTCACTGAGACACAGACGGAGCATCGGCGAGGATGAATTTGCGTCTAACCGCGACTTCCAGCTCGTCCACGTCGTCAGCGCGTGAATTGGTGCCGGAGAGATTTGACCATAAGTCGACGCCCAACGACTTCACAACTAGTTGATAAGATTCGCGTGATCAGCCCGAGGGACCAGCACATTTTCGCCGAGCCGAGACCGAGGGAGAACTCTGACAACGAAAGGGGAGGAAAAAAAAGAGAGCAAGGGGGACCAATATTTAACAGCAGCAATAATCCGACGAAGGGACCACGAAGTTTAGTGAATAGTCGGTCGACATGATGGATTGGGGAATAAGACGTAAGCTCTTTCAAAAGCTGATCAAATCCCGTAGGACGCAAAGTGTAAAAACGATACACAATATAACTGAGGTGATAGACCAATCCCTCTGGAGAAATATTTATACAGTAACCTGTCGGAGAGTTATTCTCTCTCTCCTTTCTTTTTTTGATATTTGAACGTGAATTCATAAAACTCTATAACTTCTTTTTTTTATTCATAATTGAGATTTAAAATTTATAAATTTAATTCTATAATTATAAATTATATATTGCATAATTATATATTACATTATAAATTACGCCTTGATTTATTAATTGATGTAAAATTTGATTTTAATTTTGGCACGACGATCTTATTGTGTTTGATTTTACAATCTCTGATCTTTCGATATTTAACAGAATTTTTAATTGTTTTTTATGTAAAAATACTTGCTTGAATTTTAGATCAATGTCTTGAAAGTGCAAGCCTTGAAAATATTTTTTTTTTATTTGTTATTAAAACATGAATTAAGCTTTAATGACATAATTTGCACAAGAATCTCATAGTTTGATTTCACAATCTTGGCTAGATTTTGATTTAGTAGAATTTTTTATTTTTTGTTTCATATAAGGGTACTTGGTTGATCTTTTTAGATTAATGTCTTGAAAGTATAAGCCTAGAAAAGATAATTGGGACATTATAAATTAAACTTTGATGATGTAATTTTGACGAGAATCTTATAGTTTGATTTCACAGTCTCTGATAGATTTCGACATAATGGAATTCTTTATTTTCTCTAAGAATACTTGCCTGAACTTTAGATCAATGTCTTGAAGGTACAAGTCTTGAAAAAAGAGCAGAAAAACAAAGTATTTTTATGTAAAGGAGGATAGAAAAACTTTTCCGCCTAGATTACGCAAGTTCTTGTTTATAGCTCGCGGTGTTCGAAGGCCGGCGGAAAGGTCGGGTAGAATGAAGAAAGGGCAGAAGAATATTGAAGCACGGTGATCTCCCACGATCTCCCTTGTGCATCGTGCACCTTCTACGCATCGCGCGACGATAAGACGACGCGGCGTGTGCACGCCGGAATTGGGTGCGCGGAAAATCAATAAAACGCCGGAACGGTCTGCGTTGTATGTCGACCTACATTCGAGCACTAGCGTGCCACCTTCGTTTCTCTAAAAATACCGTCGGTAGTTTCTCCTTTCCGCCCGGTAGTAATAGTCGCATGCGTCGATCCCGATTGTTTCGACGTGTTGCTCCGCGACCGAGCGAAATTCCAGCTCCTCGATTGCGAACGAGGCGACTATGACGAATTGCATTTCCGATGGAAGCGGCTCGTTCCCGAGCGAAATTCACGCACTGCGTACGAAGGCCGTAGTCACAACACACATGAATCATTTTAATCGCGAGTCCAAGTTATTTCCATTTCTTAAATATCTCGCATTAACTTGAAAGAATCGTGAAATAGAAATTTCTCATTGGTTTTCTGTCTAAAAGAGAAAGTTATTCCTTTAGTATACATATTGACCGTTATGTAAAAGTTATTTAATATGAAACAGAGTATCATGGCTCTCTTGTTAAAATTTTTGAAATTTTGACTTATCATTCCGGGCAATTGTATTGCTTATAGAAGTTTATACACGCAGAGAGGAAAACTTGAGGAAAGAAAAAATCGGATAAAAAAGATTATTTTTATCCTTTCATCCGTACTTTTTGCCCAAGAAATGGGACATTGGCCGGCTGACCTTCGTTGCACCTGGATCGATTAAAGTTATATAAGAGCAAAAGAAATATGAGTACGTTTCGTATTTTCTTATTTCGCTATCAAACACAGTAACAAGGAATTTAGATTGAACCTTCGCGGACTGATTCTATATCGAGTCGTTTCGACGTTTAGAGCGTTTGTACTTGGAGCTTTTTATCATTTAATACCTTGCGCGTATAAAATGGCACATTTTTCCCGCTCATCTTATTCATCTCTCTCTCTCTCGTCTTTTATCTCGTCTTTTATTCATACTCTGGTGTCTCGCAGACTTTTTTCTCGCTCGAAAACTGAGACTCCTGCACGTGCGCTCCTTCGAGCCGGCCAGAGTCAGCTAATTAAGCGAAACGACACCATTTCCCCACCCCTTTTTTTCACCCGGTCTCTCTCTCTCTCTCTCTCTCTCTCTCTTTCTTTCTTTCTTTCTTTCTTTCTTTCTTTCTCTCTGTTTTGATGAAAAATTGAAACAATCGCGCGAATCCCTCTCGACCTAATGCGACAGACTTAATAAATAATTTCGCGGCGCGAGTAAATGAGGAAACCGCTATAGGCTCGTACGGTGCAGGCGACATTGTTCATCACGCTTGCGCCGGTCTCACGTGTGCGCTCTACCATACTCGTTTCTATGTACACCCCGTGCTGTTGTACTGTCGGAACGAAAGTAACAAGAAGTTACACACCAGTGTTGTTTTAACGGGCGAGCCGTGTAGAGTATCGTCCGGCACGTCATAAACGCGCAACGCGTTACGTTCGCTTTCGCGCGTGTAACGTCTCGCGACACGTGAATAATCACGTTCACGTTTTCGTCGTGTACGCACAAAGTGTCGACGACCGTTTATCAATTAAAATTACTAATTTTCGCTTGAATCGCACGAGTTGTCGTTTAGTAGTGCTTCGCGTCCGCCAAAAGTTGATCGCAGTCTGACGGATGAAGTATCCGTTGAGTCGCGTACATAATTCGTGAACATGAATAATTAATCATTTAACAACGCGCGTGCGTTGAGACTTACTACTTCGTGAAATTAAACCGTCATTTGCCACTTGAATTAGCTAAAGAATAGAGGAAACCAAGCTCCTCGATTTTAAATCATAAACAGAAGAAATAGAGCTAGTGAGTGCAAAAGCACGGTTTTTTAGTATTATTAAATAGTTTAATGGGAAACGTACTTTTGCTCTCATTAGCTCTGTGCCTTTATTTGTTAATTAGTTAACTTATTAGTTTTACTGGACTTCTCTTCTTTATTGTCTACTCGCGCACTGTTATTGCTTTTTTTCAATAAAATGCGAGTTGTGTTAAGTAATTCGATGGAAATAAGCAATATACATACACATAACTAAATTGTCAATGCATACATAAATTTGCGAAGTTTCCAAATCAAGGATTCAGTTTTGCGCGGAAGGATATCAGCGTTTATTTATCGCATGGACGTCGGACCAGTCGAGCGCGTGATATAATCTCTCATGCCGCATTATCGCGTTGACATTTGCTGTGAAAAACTGAAAAAGCTACGCGCAAATTGCAACAGGTGTAATTTAATGACATGCGCCGCGTTTTCTGTCGTCTCTAGAACTCGAGATTTGTTTTCTAACGCCGATATGAAAATAAACTTAATCGATTTATACGTTCGCATACGTACGTCCTGGGAAAATCAGCGTGAAATCTATATTTACTGTCGGTGTCCTCGGGAAAGTATAGTTATGGTCGATCATTTCTATTTATCGTTCTAACGCAACTCCAATTCTGAGCAGCATCAAGATTTATTGTCCTCTCCGAACATCTTATTCCGCGAACGTTCGCGATTTTTGAACTTTTCGCGCGACGAAAATGTTTCGCCAATCGAAATTTCATTCATAAACATTTATTACTGTGATTCGAAGAAACGATAATAAACAGTAGCGACAAAATACGCGGAAATAATTTTGCCGATTGACACGTCTTCGTAGAATGAAGTGCCGTCTTCCTCGAGATGAACGCGATTCATATAAAAATGTAATTGTGCAATTCTGTCACAAACAGGTCGTCGTATATTACGAGGCGTATGTCATTAGTATAAAAGCGTAGAATTGACTCCACGTGTTCCAAATAAGAGCTCTCTCGTAATAAAGGAAATGATATAATTCATAGTTATTGAACGTTGACATTGATACGTTAATGTGTGCGTGAATTGTCGATCTAGAGGTGTTACATGATCGGACTTTGGCCATTTAAACCACGCCGAAGCGGCAAAGTGGAGGTGATGTTGGGTGAGTGCTTTCGAAAAGGTTTTAAATCCTACGCACTTGGTGCACTCGCCGCTAAACTTGATAAGAAAGAAACAGTGAATCATCACGTTGCAAGGAAAAAATAGAGAATAACGGCCGTTGTAAACCAATAAACGCAAACTAAAAATCATTTTTATTAGTATCTCAAACTGAATTTATAGATTAATCAAACCAACGTTTAATAGATTAATTAAACGTACGTTTCGATTCTACAATTGCACCCCTTTACTTAAAATATTTAAGTGAAGATGTGTTTTTGAAATTTCTCTCTCGGATTCTCCTTAAATTCTTAGTCTCGTGAATACACACGCTCTTTTTTGGTAATTGAAATTCGGAAACTGCAATAATGTAGTTTCGTAGTTTCCACTGTTTTTCTATTTGGTTGTCTAGAATTGCAAATACTTCCACAGTGTGAAAGTATAAATATGTAAATGTATAGATGCAAATATTGTGCATATAATGTTAAATATTGTGTATCAGAAGTTTAAAAAAAATGTAAATAAAAATATTTTCTTTGCTTTTGCTATAGTATACTTTTCACACATTGGCATTTGTGCTTTCACTCTGTAAAAGCACTTACCATTCTGTACGACCAAATAGAGAAACAATGTAAACTGCGAAGCCGCATTACGTCGGTATCCAGCATCCTCTTGACAGTCCGTATTAATAGTTGTCATTTATAACTTGTCTCATGTGCGATATTTAAATATTTTTCAATCATAGTTAGATTTAAATTCTTGTAGATATGTATGATATATGTTATATAATCGCGATTCAACTGAAAAACTCATCTAAACTCAAATCTGAATATCTCACTTAGGAGAAGCCTCAATAACGACTAATTATTATTCATACGAGTCCAAGACTCCTAAGTTAGCATTCGGATATTGTATTCAAAACTGGACGACTCCTGGATAATCGGATTTCACGGTCTCCGGATGACGAGTGCGTGAAATTCGAGTTTCCACGGCAGTTCGCCGCTTGAAAGCCGCTCGATTGTATTCGCGGCCGAAAGTACGAAACCGCGACGTCGTTCGCGAAAGCAAGGACGAGGGAAACGCGATGAAAACGCCGGCGACGACGGGTGCAATGACTGTGCGGCGCGCTGACCCGAAGCCGAGAGTCATTCTCCCTTTCCGTCTTCTTCCGTGAGAAGCCCGCGGGCCTCGCAACACACGTGCGTGCTCAGCAGGGAACGCGCGGTAATACTTTAACGCGAGAAAAATGCACGATCACTATCTAGTCCATCATACTAATTCGACGATTTACCGCGAAGCTTCTCATGCGCGATTATTATATGCTGCGCGTCTTTGAATTAACGATGAGCGTTTGCCGTAATGGCTGATGAAGAAGCTCCTTCTTTTATTCCTTCCTTTCTTCCCATCGCTTGCCCCTTTGTACTTTCCAGAAGCGCGCCCGATGAACTTTAATTAATTAATAATTAATTTCGTTATATATATTTCGTTGTATATATTCTTGTTTGTCTTTCGTTTATTCTCGTACTTTGCCGCTCTGTCGCAAGTTGTAATCTCCATTAGTCCATAATAACTTATAATTTATGTAGATGTCAGAACAATGTCGCCCTGTGTATGTGTGTGTGCTTGTTACGCTCAAGTAAAACATCGTGGTATTTATTTTTATTGCAGGTTCCATTATGTTTCACGTGAGGAGGAGGCCCGCGGACTACATGCCGCGGAAACGTAAAAAGAAACCTGCCGGGAAATGGAATGAACTGGATCACAGGTATGCGATTTTAAATATCCTTGTATACTGGAAGCTTCGCGAGTGGCATGACTTCTTCGATGGGTTGTTACTCGAATATGTGTAATTCGTTATTATTTGGCGGAAGAATTCAAAGGGTCGTCACTGGTTTCCTATAGCAATCCTTTAGCTTGTTGGTAATAAATATCTAGACTAAAGTTACTAATTAAAAGTTGCTGTCAAAGAACAGAGCGCATAATTAATCATAAATTATATATATGCTCCAAAAAATAATTTACGAAAAAGCTATGAAAACTATAAGATACGATCTTAGGTGTACTTTTGCTAACGAGACAATTTCATAAAAAGAGGTAATTTTCCATGAAACGTGAAATAGGCGTGACGTCTATTATTAATCCACTTTATATCTACCTTCTGCGACATAACTGACAGTGTACAAAAAAATGTATTATCAGATACACTCGTCGCTCTTATTAAATTTCACATAGATTACAGTTTTTGAATACTGTCCAATACGTAATGGTAATTTTCCATGAAACGTGAAATAGGTGTGATGTCTATTATTAATTCACTTTATATCTACCTTCTGTGACGTTATAGTGTGTTCTGACAGGGTGATTTTTTTTACATTTTTACAGGTATGAGGATGAGAGGCTGCCCTTCCTGCTGGAGCTTAATCCTGACGGCAGCGATATCCCGAACGGTGCCGGGGTGCGACATCGGTTACAGCCGAATGTAACAGAAGTGGGATCGGAACGGCCGATCGGACCGCAAGCGGTGCAAGCGCAAACGCTGACGTTACCGGGGCCAACGGTAATGCCGAGGCATTGCGTGATAGCCTTTACCGAGAACATCGTCACTCTCACGCCATGCTCCAGAGACGCACACACGTACGTCAACAACCAGAGGATACACCAGACCACCATACTGCAGGTGCGTCCCTCGATAACACTGCTTTTTCACGATTTAATCCTTTTTAAGGCTGATAATATCCAATAACATTAAAACTGTGACGCATATTTCTGACCTACGTTTCTGAGATTATTATCTGAAATGGGACATTTTTGCTCTTCTTATTGGAAATTTTATTATTATAATGAATAATATACGTTAATAAATTATAAATTTATAATATACGTTATTTTTGTAATAACTGTATTACAATAGACGTTATTTTTATAATAGATATGCTATAACATCGTTATTTTTATAATAGATATGCTATAACATCGTTATTTTTATCATGCACGATATTTATACAATAAATTATAATGTGTGTGTGTGTGTGTGTGTGTGTTTGTGTGCGCGCGCGCGCGCTGCTATTAATATGATTTTCTAGTAGATGCGGGATATAACATACATAGATACATGCGATAAATATATGAAATGTCGTTTAATTTTACAGAATGGAGCTATTATCAAGTTCGGCAGAATGCACACCTTCCGATTCATCGATCCAGCACCGGAGGAACGCATCAGGCAGAGACACGATTCTAACAAGCAGATCGACTACGCTTACGACCGGTAAGTTCGATACTTCTATTTATAGCCCTCGTCGCTGCAATCAGGTGAGACAGACGTCGTGGATATGTGTTGCTCGTCGTAAGACTTAGCTGTTACTCGTTTCCTTGTTTCATTTCGAATGCACAGTAATCACTCATTCAGCTCGTTATAATTATCAGATACACTCGTCGTTCTTATTAAATCTCACATAGATTACAGTTTTTGAACACTGTCCAATTTAGCTAATAACAAGAAATCAATCTTTTCAACAATTTTCCTTATCTTTGGTTGACTCGTCGATTAACTAAGCATTTCATGCATTTTTATTCGCGTTCGTTCAGCCTCTCCTTTAGTTTATTATCTACCCGTTCCATTTATGTTTATTTTGCCCGGTTTGCTTCATGTTTGCTTTCCTCGTCGCGATGCTCGCGCTTCGCACGCATGTTACGACAGACGCTCGCCGGACGCGACCAGCCAGGACGTCAGCTCGGAGAAGTTCCGACCAGGGTCCGGCACGCCGAACGGCGGCGCTCAGGCCCAAAATCAAGGTCAAGAACGAGCGACCCCATCGAGTCCTTCCAAATCCGCTGCCGCTCGTAGTCCCCGTAGTCCTACACACCCGTCGGAACCCACGCACAATTACGAGACCACGTTTGACTTGGACGGTAACGTGGAGACCGCCAGTCTCAGCAGCAGCAGAGACGGCAACAGGTAGCAAAATATGCTGACGAATTTGCGACGGGTTAACACTCGACTCTAGCCAACAGACCGAAATGCCCGGGCATTTTTAATACATGTGTATTGCTGTGGCCGGATTTATATTGAAAAGCCCGGACCATAATGCAAAGATATCAAATATTTTAGACTTTCGCTGTCTGGGGAAGTGTTCAATCTGGGCTAGTGCCAGATGCCAGTACGTGCCACGACCTTCGTGGATTTCTTTTTAATGTTTCGTAAATATGTCAATTTACTTCTCCAGGGAAAGAAAACTAACAGGAATGATCGTTTCTCTCTCTGATATTCATGAAAGAAATTTATGAAGAACGCGACACCAACTCGAGAAAACCAGATCAAGTATATCTCTTAGAAGTGATTCATATTTATCTTTCTTTTATATGATTTAAAAACAGAATAGTTAATTATTTTCTCATTTTCAAAGTATGATTTTTTTCGAAACTCTGTTCAATCGCTCTTTTTAAGTTTTATATTAATATCTTGCTAACTTAGTCAAGTCTTCAAAGTTTATTAAGTGCACAATTGTTACGTGTGTTATATGTATGTGCAATATTTATAGCAAAACTAAAAAATGTTTTAGGAACTCGTGTTAAAAAATTTCTTTCTTAAAGCATTAACAATCTTTAGTTTCATAAAAAAATGTCGGGAATATTTAATAATCTGATAATTTTGAATCCAATGAAAAAACTAATACACGTCAATTGTTAACAGGCTTGCGCAGTATGATCGACAGCCGCGAGGCACGGATCCGATCTTGCCTGCCGTCCTGGAGTTCCTCGAAGAGACGGAGGAGGCATTTCTCCATGCCGTTATCACCGATGTAGAGCCTTCAGCGCCGCAGTTCAAGCTGGCTCCGACTTACACCCTCTACCTGAGCGCGAGGTATCGTGCCAGCACTCACTATAGACCGGAACTGCAGCCCACAGAGAGAGCACATCGTCTCACTGTTATGCTGGCGAATGTCGCTACTATGATACAACGCGTTATCCAGGTATTTCGAATTAAATTAATTTCTCTTATTATCTCTTTTTGCTATTCCTAATCAAGTATGTTGTTCCAGGAACGTTATATGGATGCTTCGTCGTTGGCTTTCTGGCTGGCGAACGGCTCAGAACTGTTGCACATGTTGAAGAGTGACCGACACGTAGGTGCATTTTCAACGCGAGCGCAGGACATTCTGACAGACGCGGTGCACACGTCATTCGGTTCGCTGGTGCGTTGTGTCACGTTAGAACTAGCGCCGGCCATGACTCAGTTTATGGCGGACGCGGACGAGCCGGCGAAGGAGGCTGGAGTGCTGCAGATCTTCTCGAATTCGATGGCATTGTTGCGACGATGTCGGGTAAACGCTGCATTGACGATACAGCTGTTCAGTCACCTCTTCCATGCGATCAATGCCACAGCCTTCAACACTCTGGTTTCCAACGGAAATCTGTGCGTTCGATGGTTCGGGCGCAGGCTAAAGGCGCGATTAAACGCCTTAGAGACGTGGGCCGAAAGGCAAGGTCTAGAACTCGCCAGTCAATGCCACTTGGCGACGATCATGCAGGCGACTCACTTACTACAGGCACCCAAGTATAATGCCGAAGAGCTGGCTACCCTAAGCTCCACTTGCTTCAAGCTGAATTCTCTGCAGGTCAGGGCATTGCTACAGAAATATCAGCCTGCAGCGGACGAGCCTAGGCTGCCCGCCGAGTTAATTGAGAACGTTGTAAGGGTGAGTATGTTTCGAAGAGACTGTAACTTGGATCTATTTATTTTTGTTTGTGTTTTAATAATTATTATATGATCAATCTCATGTATCGCAGGTAGCAGAGAGTGTCGCAGATGCGCTCGCACGTTCAGACGGCCGAGAGATAAGACTGGAAGAAGAACCTGTTTTGGGATTGGCGCTACTGCTACCCGATGACGGCTACAGTTGTGAGGTCATAAGAGGTGTTCCGCCAGGACTGGCCGAATTTTTAACACCTCTGCAACGAGATGGTTTATGTCGAATGGCAGCTCAACCCACCAGCAGCGGCTATTGGACCATTTACATGATAGATCATCATAACAATGTGAGTTGCGAGTCTCCAAAACTTCCATTCAGATGAGATAACATATGTGTTTTTCCTTATGCAAAAATTAATCGGCAAAAATATAAAAGTTATTATAATATTAATTTTTTAATTTGAACTAGAACTGTAATTTATTACTTCTTCAATAAAAATAACTATAATAAGTAGCTTTTTAAGATTAGTAATTACAACAGTAAACTTTTTTCAGTAGGTAATGAGTAAATGTTCATATAATATTTTTGAGGTTACAAATTAAAAGATTGCGCACAAAATATACAAGCTCACACATATTTTTCAAATTTTTTGTTGCAGCTACGTAGTCCCAGTGCGATGAGCAACAGATCAGGTGGTTATACCAGCCACATCACTCAAAACCAAGCCCAACCGGAAATACATGTCATTAAATTGCACAAGAGTACCAATGGCATGGGCTTGAGCATCGTCGCGGCGAAGGTGTGTACCCTTAATTATATCCATTTACCAATGAAATATAATATTTTACTTCTGATTATTCGAATAGGGAGCGGGGCAAGATCGATTAGGCATCTACATAAAGAGTGTGGTCGCTGGTGGTGCAGCCGACGCTGTAAGTAATAGCGTCCATTTGATTATAACAAGTCGGAAAATTTATCATTTAGCGTTCCTATCACTACGCTTCTAAAATATATTTAAAATAGATTAAATACGATGCTATGTAATTCTCACTTAAATTTATTTAACCAATCTTATGTGTTTTTAGGATGGTAGACTGACAGCAGGCGATCAACTACTCAAGGTGGATGGACAAAGTCTCGTCGGAATTACACAAGAAAAGTACGGCGGACAGATTTAATTCTAATTTAATTAATATCTCGATTATGGACTGCACGTATTGGAAACGACATTTTAATTGTGATATTATTAAAATTTTACAGGGCTGCCGAATATCTCGTGCGTACCGGACCCATCGTGACGCTGGAAGTTGCAAAACAAGGCGCTATATATCACGGACTGGCAACGCTGTTATCTCAACCTTCCCCTGTGATGACGAGAGGTACGTGTAGAAATTTATGAATAATTTCATAATTTGCCGGGATAATTTAACAAGAAAAGAATAATCGAAATGTCGCAAATTGTATTTCATTATCTGCGTGTCTCAATGTTTCAAAATTCATAAAAAAAGTCGATCATTCGTGTAGCGTATGATGATGTGTACATTAATTCGACCTTTGGTTCTTTGCATAAAAATCTATATAATTATGTCGATAATAGAAAATTATTCTTTGCGTTCACAAATAATTTCCGCTACATGATCATAAAACTAAATTAACTGGGAAAGGTGAGACAACTTTCGACTCACCGAACGACTTCATCATTTTCTCGCTTCAAGCACACGTGTCAGCGAAATCCCATTCTCTGTGATATAATATTGGTCGGGTACACCTCGATTATCAACAGCCCGTTGACAGACATTTTCTTAATCCAAATAACCGCTCTGTCGGAGTTAACGCCTTTCGCTTCGCTTCGCTCGCAGAGAGAGAGGAGAGAGAGAGAGAGAGAGAGAGAGAGTTTGCTTTACTAACGCTTGACTAACCACTTGTTTCGTGCAGCGTATAAGAGTCGACCGAGGTCCGAGCTCTTAGAGGCTGTGAGACCAGCGGAAGCGGCGGCGGCGGCCGGTCAGCCAGCCACGTCACACTCGATGGGCGATTTATTGTCCTTGCCGAAGCAGACAACGTGTCAGGACGTAGCTCAACCAGGTGCGATCCCGTCCCAACGCTTTGTCGACACGTCCTTTTACCGTAATCAGCTCGATCGAGGTTTTCCGCGAATTGATCTCGAAGAGTACCACTCCGCGCGGCAGAATCCGTTCTCTGTTCTCCATCAGAGAAGCGCATATTCGACCGCTTATCCCGTCGACGAGAGAGAGTATCTGTATCGTCCATCCACTCCCACAGTTTCCCCTGTACGCCTCCCGAAACCCCGTACGCCTCTCTACTGTCCTCTGATCTCCATCACGAGCGACAACGCAGTGTCATCCGTCATATATCAAGACGAGAGCGACGAGAGCGACGATAGAATCGTCGAAGAAGACGAGGAACAAGGTGAAGTCGCGACGGGTAACTCAAGTTACTCGGCAGACACTACAAATCCGTTCGAGAGGATCACTACACCACCAGAGGAATACGCGACGCCCATGACGGAGTCTAAACGCTTGTCGTTGACTTTTGACAGGAGCTTTTTCGATACTATACCGTACATCGATCAGACCGATGATACTAATCTCGCAGAAGCTTCTGAATGTGTTCAGGGAACATCGTGTAATTCTAGTCTTAAGGACGTTCAGAAGCGCGCAAACGTAGATCGTAACAATCAACAGACTTTAAATATCGCAGAATCTAATTTCGAGTTAGGTATGCGTAGCCATTCTTCGCCGAATAAGTCGATGCTGTCTGTCAAGAACGAAGTACTTGCGTCAGGTCCCGTCGCGGAATCTAGTCAAGACGACTTCTCATACTTCCAAGACGCAGGACGTGAGTTGAGTATTAATGAGCAATGCGACGACAAGTTAGACATTATTTCCAACTCTGAAGACTGCGCAGACGAATCCAGTTCCACGATTAATGACGATCTCACATCGAGTAGAGCTGACAAAAGCGCCGAGGATGGGATCTCAACCCCCAAGATGTACACTATAATGCCGGAACTGCACCTTGACCTGAGCGGGCTGAATAGCGACGTGTCTAGCGACGAGTCCAAGACTGAAAAGTGCTGGAAATCGCCGGAGGAGGTGCGTCTAGGATGCGGCAGAGTCGCAGCATTGGCGAAACACTTCTCGAAACTTGGCGACGCCGGTCTGATCAGATTCAAGTCCACCAAATTGACCGATTCTCGGCAATTCGTGTCGGAACCGGATATTATGACGCCGGGAAAAAGTAACGAACGTTCGGGCAAGGAACATTTGCGTGTCAAGGAGTACAAATCGGACTCGGACCTGACGAGAGAGACGGACAGCGACTCTTGCATCGGCTCGGCTGCCAGACGTAATGTCATCTTGGTGGACGTTGAAACGGACGGCAACTTCGCGATTCAAGGATGTAGACTCCATCATTGCAGTGCTAAGCGGCTCACCACCGCTAAGTTTCCTTCGTTGAGTGATAACAAAGAGCAAATCGCCGCTGAGAAAAGCGTAGCCTTGACCGAGATCGAAGACTGTGATGACGTGTTGAGTCACGAGAGCAACGATCAAGTCGCGGGAATCAGAAATCACAAAGTAGCAAATGACAACAGCGAATCTCAAGTCCTCGAAAGCCACAAGAACGCGTTGGCTAAACACGTTAGTATAAAAGACAACAAATTGTCCTTGGAAGAGCAGCAGGTGATCGTAGAACAACTCGAGCAATTCTCGAACCTGGATAACGCCGATGCGCCTTTATTCATACCAGAACGAAGCGTGGAGCAAGCTCTTTTAAAGGACGGGAGTAACGAAGTTTCTGTCCTTGACAGCTCCACTCTAACAAATGTAACAAATCAATCGGAGGCAATGCCTCGGGAGAAGTTATCATCACTGGTCGATACGAATAATAGCTCCCAGAAAACTAAGCAAGATGAAGCTTCCAGTTGTTCGTCGTCTTCTTCTTCTTCTCCCCTGGCTTCCGTACGTTCTCCTTCATCTTCCCACTCTTCCGTCGTGCTGTCTGTTTCGAATGTCGCGAGAAGTTCTCTGTCCTCGGAAGATAGCAGGTCGCAAACCCGTCAGCATTGCGGAAAGCACTCCAAACCGTGCCTGTTCATAGACATTTCTCATTCTTCCACTAAAAGCCGCTCTAACGACAGTTCTTCGGAAAGTCCGTCGATGCTTCCGCCACGTGCGAGCGCGTGCGATAACAAACTGAATATTCTGCACGTACGAATCGCCAGACCGCCACCGCTCTGCGGCAGTGAGGACAATCTGATCGGCGCTGCAATTTGCAGCAAGGAGATAGCTGATCAGGCCGTAGACCGTTGCGGCGAGTCCGCTAAGTTGACACGCAGCTGCGAGAATATTCTAAGCAGTAAGTTCCTATCCGATTCCATCGAGCGAAGGCGGTCCTCGGGAAGCCTTCATAAACATATTGACTCGTTCCGCAAGTCTTGTAATAAATTAGACTCGAAATTCAAGGAAAAGACACGCTGGTACCGTTATCGCTCTCTCGAGGAGCTGAAATCGAAAAAAGGATCGAAGAGACAAGATAACTATACCTCAGATGGAGCCGAGGTTCAAAGATTCGGCAGATTCACCGACGATAGATTAGCTCTCGAGGATAGAGAGGAGACTCGACGGGACCGTTGCCGATCATTGGAAGAACTGAAGTCGAAGAAAGAATCGCGCGAACAAGACAGACCGACTTCGGCTCCTGAAGTTCAAAAACCCGACTGGATGCCGAAGAGACTTCGCAGAAAGCGCGTGAGCTACGATCAGTTGAAAGGGAACTCTTTCGAGCTGTCACGTAAGAGCAAAACGAAAGACGAGGAACCGCATAAGTGGCGGGTTGAAAGGAAGTCCCAGAGCGAGTTGGACGTTTCGAGGCGGAAGTCCGATTCAGAGAGGGACGGTTGGAGCTTCCGTGAGATCAGCTCGCTGAAAGATGACGACCGGTTCGCCTTGCGTAAGCAACCACACCACACCACGTGTTATGCATTGAATGTGCGTTTAGTCGATCTTTTTTCTTTTTCCTGAGCACTGCCTGAGTAAGAGATGATAATTGGAAAATCGACGTTCGCAGGCGAATCAATGTCGCACGATTCCGTTTATCTTTCACACTACGTTTACATTACGTTTTTACGTTTACTCTCCCATCCACGTTTACAACCATGAAATCCTGACGACACTCACTCCCGATATGAGCCACTCTCGCATTTTACGCAATAACACGTTGATCTGCGGTATGATTTAATCAGGTTGTTAAGTCAAAAACCAAGTTCTGTAAATTCTCCTGTAAGATCATAGAATGTGTATACAATTGTTTTTTCTTTCTAAAGAAATTTAGAAAGAAAAATCCTTTGCACAGACCTAGTCCCTGAATCAAGAGATTGATTATTGTATTGACTTAATACTACTGATTAGTATTTTCTATTATTTATGTTACATTGATTTCATAACATCTTCGCCTTGTACAGAATGATAAGAATATCACTCTTCGGTTTCTAAGATATAGGATTAATCAGACTGTTAGTAACTAATTGAATTACTTTTATAAGATCGTAAAATATGTATAAAAATTTTCCTTCTTTCTAAAGAAATTTAGAAAGAAATCTTTCATACAGACTTGGTCTCTCTAAATCTAGAAATTGATTCTATTAGTTGACACTTCATGCTATTAATCAATATCTTCTATGATTTATATTAATTTCATAACACTGCCTTTGCTTTACGCAAAATGATGGTGTCATTCTATTTTCTAAAGTATACAGCACCGATGTGATTCTGTTCCATAATTCATAACACAATTCTTTGCTAATTTGCGAGCATGATGTACTAATTCAGTTTCTAGATGTCACTTTCTGTCATTCCATCGCAGTGCCCGCATAGTGATAACGCATTCAGCAACGAACTCGTACGATGTTACATGCGTGCACGTGATTGTAGAGTTATGTACATAGTAAGAATGCTCTGTGTCAAGTGCAATTATTTAATCACGCTGTAATTATAAGGCTTTTACTTTGCAATTACACGCGTAATCTCATTTTATTTCTAATTAATTTAATCGCAGGAAACCAGAATGAAATAATCGCCCAAATGTGCACGCGATATACATGTTTAGGTACATTTATATTTGTTACATTTCACGTAACTTTTCTGCAAAAGATGCAGCGCAATATTTTTCTTGTCTTTTTTTATTTTTTTTTTATTTTTTTTTATTTTTTTTTATTTTTTTTTAATTTAAAGCAACGTGATCACTCTTCTGGGCGTCGAATAATCGTGTCGACAGTTTAGTGCTACATCGGTCAGAATTATTTTACAGCTGAAATATGAAAGAATAATATATATAGTAAAATTGGAACCCGATACGTCATTTGACCGTTCGTCATTTGACATTTTCTTGCCACGTGTTTCAAAATGTTGGCGTTAAAGTCGACATATACCCCGTGAGTATCGCGATTGTATCCCGGCGACCCAAAAGAGAGACAAAGAGAGCGTTTCGCTCTCGACAAATGCTTTGCGTATGTGCATGAACGGCCATTTAATATCGCGCCTCAGCACTTTGGTGTTCACCGATGCATTAACTCAAAGCTGTCTTTGTGTACCCGCTTGGACAACCGCAGGTCCTCGTCGCATGAGCGAGCGGGATCTACCGTCGCGGCTTGGACACGACGCCACTCCTCAACAAATCCACAGCAGCAAGTCTGTGCCGGCATTGCATAGTAAGTAGCACGAGCTTTGTGCATATGTACACTTGTGTGTACATGCGTGTTTATATGTGTGTGTGTGTGCATATGTATCAAGATCATTTTCAGCTTCGTCGAGTTTTAATTGACCTGTAAGATCAATCACGCGATAATTAAGAGAAACGTTTCATTATGATGATTTAACACACTTCATGTGTACATTCAGTACTCAAAAATTGGCTCTGTTTAGATGTGGGTACCGAGACCAAGCAGCAGCATGAGGTATTTAATCCAGGATACAGCAGAGCCTCTTCCAGCAACAGCGTCACGCCGCCTGTTCAGCCACCTCCTATGGCAACGATCAATAGCGCAACTTCCTTGCGTTCTAGGTAAGTGTCCTTGTATCTTTCAACAATACAATTTATTGAAATTGCTTTTGACATAAATTTTCGTCTTAGACTTCCATGATATTAAGCAAATATATTCTCTGTTGCGTGCAGGTCGAGTCATAATTTACACGACCCCATGAGAATCGGAACTTTACCACCCTCCGGCTTAGTCAGCAGGCAGCAATCGTCACCCAACTTAAATCCGAATCCAACGCACGCAAATATACCGTTGAATGCGCAGAACTTGGAAGCAGAGAGATTTTACCAGAATCTGAGCATTTATCGAAACCAAGATCCAACAGTGAAGCAACAGATCAGTCCACAACAGTTGGACGATAGGTAAGATCTATAAATTTCAATAAATTTAAATTAAATTTCTATTTTTGTCTTGTAAGATTTTACTATGTTCTAATCTTTTTTTCTTGAAAGAACGTTTGAAAAATTTTAGATTTTTCTAAAAATTAAATTATTACACAATTTATTATTAAATTAATAAGATTTTATATTTTACATCGAATACAAGACACTTGTAATTACAGATTAAAGTGTATTCATGAATAATTCTAGAAGATTAAGATTTCTCTTAGTTATCATTCGAAGCAATCTCATATTCAACGCATATATCTTGCAGGAACCCTCAGCACATTCAGAAGACCCTAAGAGGCTCACAAAACTCGCTGAATCGTCCGTCCACTCTGGATATCAGCGGACACACTCGAGATCGTCCAACGTCCGCGTATATCGCTCAAAGCCAACAGCAGAGTTACACGACGATCAATAATCAGATGCAGCAGCAGAGCGGAGGACTGCCACCGCGTTCACAATCGTCACGCGACATGATTCGCCAAGAAGCGAAGTTACAAGAGATGCAGGAGGAGGTTCGACGTCGAGAATTGCGTGGAGGTGCGCCGATGCTCAATCAACATAGACCACCGGCGATGTACAACATCGGTCCGCGAGGAGCAGCGTCTTCTCAGCAACTGTCGAACACCTTGAACGTCCGTTCGCCGAGACCGCTCGGTTCTACGTCGAACTTGGGTTCTACCTCCTCGTACGCTACTGCGAGACAAAATGCACCCAGTTACAATTACCCAGATACTCAGTACTCGCAGTACAACAGCACTCAGTACGGTCAGTATGGCCAGTACAATCAATACCCAAAGTACCCAACGGCCGGTGGACAATACGGCCCAATGATACCGAAGCCGAAGAACGAGGGAGCGATCCGCGGTCATCAGACAACGTCCACTGAGAACATACTCGGTAGAGACGCCAGCAGTCAAGATGCAAAATCCTACATCGATCAGAACCGACATTTTACCGGCTCACAGAACAGTCCGCATTATCCAAATGGCAACTTAGAGCAGCGTGTCGACCAGTACGCGAACGATAATGTCGTCAGCCGAACACAGAACGGAGAAGGCCACTCTATGACGACGACGGAAACGCCGCCAGTGAGACCAGCTCTGCCGGAGGAGACCACTTACAGCGAGAGCCCGCCGCCACCACCACCCAACACTTCAACGCATCCTCTTTATAACAAACAAGCTGACACGAGGTATGTGTTTCAGTGGAAATTATAGTTACTTAAAAGTGAAGATTGTCTATTAATCTGTATTACGATTTATTTGTTGATAGAAGTGATTACAACTTGCACGTTAATGTTTTAATCGAATATTCGACTAAAAAATTGGATGTTTCCCCCATTTTTTTAAAGTTTAGAAGTTTAGAAATTATTATTTTTTTTTATAATTTTTTCTTTCTCCTACTTTTATTGCCGAGTAGAAATACAATGAGAAATCTATTTGCAAATTAATAAAGAAAAATTTCTTTTCTAGATATACCGCAAGCATGCAAGATCCACCACGGGGTACTTATTACCCCGCGGGAGGAATCGGCGCTATGCAGCAACCACGACAGTATCAGTACAGTGCGACGAATCCTTGGCAACGAGAAGAGAGAGAAAAGGTAATTAAAAGTTGTAGAGTTATTTACTGTACATCAACAAATTTCAGTAACAGAAATCGTTTTTTAAATATGTTTTTAGAAGATTAAATTAGAGAAATACGAGAAGCTCGTTAGATTTATTTTATTTTAACTTAAAAATCCAATTTATCGATTAATTAATATTAATGACGTTTTTAGGAGCAAGCGCGCAGGAGAGAAGCCGCGAGACAATGGCGTGATCAGCAGATTTCCGAACTGAGCGCACTGGCGCATCGAACACAGCAGCAAGAAGAGCAGCTCCGAGCATTACAGTTAGAGAGGGATTTCCAGAAACGAGCGGAAGAGGCTGCCAATCAAGACGACGACGAGGAGAGTAACGACCTTGACAACGAGAGCGCGCAACGCGTTCAGGGCTTACTAAGAATGGCGGTCAGCCAGGAAAGAATCGTCCAAGCGAATCAACAACCGCCAATTTTGTCCAGAACAAACACGGGCAACCAGTCTATGAGAGGCGGCCTCTCTCTGCAGCCGATTAGCAGCCCAATGCAACCCACTACTAGCAGTCACTCTCACAGTTTGCCCAGTCAAACGACGTCTCAAAATGTTGGAGTGAGCAGTTCTGGTCAGGAGAACAGCGGCCTGCACATACAACCGAGTCAGCAACAGCAGCAAACTGCAAGTCAAATCAGTGAGGAGCAGCAGCAGATGCATATGTCGTCTAATTACAGTACACCTTTGAGTCACTTTGGCTCCGGTCAGAAATCCTACTCCGTCGGCATGTCGCACTCTTCAGAGGATAGAGAGCTCCAACGGCGAATAGACGAGGTGAAACGAAAGCAGGCCGAGTACGAAGAGAACCAGAAAAAGCAGGAGGAAGAACTCAGGCAGCACCAGCTGCATTCGCAACAACAGACGTATCAGCAGAACCAGCATCCGAGAAACCAGCAAACACTACATCCCGGCATGCTGCGTTTGGATAACTTGATCATCAATGGGCCTAACGTGCCTATACGTGAGTAAATAAAATGTGAAATAAAAATCGATATGCATGAAATTTGGACGCTCTATTTCTTGTGTTTTTCCAAAGGAACCGTACGAAAACGCGTTAGGAATCCTTTGTCTCTTTTACACCCACAGGGAATATTTAATTAATAGAGTTTTATTTTTCTGTTTTAGCCTCGCAGAATAGCATGAACGATGCACCTCCGCCACCAGAACGAGGCTCTAGTTACGCCGCTATGTCGCAGCAAAGTGCTCTCAGGTCGAACGGCTCGACCGCGTCTAATCTACCTCCAAGTTCTCAGCAGCCAGGATCCATGAAAAAGGTCTCTTTTCATGATTCCAATGCAAACAGCGAATCTATGCTGCGCAACGTACCGTCCGGAACGTCGAATCCGCCATCGATAACGATGGACACCATCAGAGAGGATCCGAACGTGAGTAATTTCTTTCGGCTTACTTACCTCCTTTTTTACATATTTATCTCATTAATTTTAATTTACTCTTTTGTTTTATCGTATGTTTTATTTTGGCTTAATTTTTGTCGATCATTTTAAAAACATACAAATTGTCCTCGTATTTTGTCTATGTTTTAATATCTAAGAGAGTTGTAATATAATATTCTTTTCTTTAATTTTTTAAGAGAGAAATATGTTATCGTTCAATATTACATATAATATTTTTTTTGTACATTGTATGTAATTTAAATAACCAAGAGAAATGAATTATAACTTCTTAAAGAGCGAACTTTTTTATGCATCTTCTACATGAATCTATTATAAATTTGAATATGTTCTATCAAAATGCATACAATGGCAGACAAACAAGTAAGGTATAAGTTTCCAAAGAAATCGTTACTACATCGTGCTGTCTGCATTAAAATGTCTGCGTTTAACGATGCATGAACCGTCAATTATAGTGATTATCGCCTAGCGATCATGTATCGTTCATTCGTCGTGTTCATTACTAGATGTATTATTCATATTTCATTCTATGTGAACTACATTCATGTTTCGCGTGTTGTACATGACCGATGCTAGTCTCTATAATTATTGCTTTACTTATACCGGTTGCTGAAAAAAATTGCAAATATTTCTCGCAGAGCATTATGCATTCAAATGTGATATTTCCGCAAAAAGAATTTAATTTGAGATTTCTACTTGTACATTCTAACTGTTGCCATTGATCACTTTATTTCTTAGATGAATAAAAAGTGATCGATAAATTTTGTCTAAGCTTAATTAATTTAATAAATAAATCTCCAATCTGTCGTTTTAGATAGATGATTCATTCACGTGTCTCAGATTGAATTCTCGCCGAGGCATGATTGCCTTGCCATTTTTCTCGAGGCATTTATATTGGCATATATTATTTATTATATATATTATTCATGTCATATTCATTTGCGTCTAATAGATTATTTGACTGTGTCCACAGAATTTTATCAACGACGCGGAAAATCTATTAGCGTCTCCCAAAACGCCGGAAGGTTCCGGGACTTCGTTTTCTGGCTCTACTCCCGGAGTGATCGGAGCACAAGAAGTGTATAAGTAGGTTCACTATGTCTATCATGAAATTCAAAGAACTCATTATTAAATTAGGATAAGTGACTTTTTCTGACAAGTGCACTGAAACATTTGTTCTCCCAAGGGATCCGCGACAAAAGCGACTGGCGGAGAAGCAGAAGCAGCAACAGAACTCGCAGATCGGCGCGGTGCCGGAGAAGCTCAGCTTCAAGGAAAAGATGAAAATGTTCGCGATGGAGACTGGCGAGGACGGTACACCGCGTGACAAAGTGAAGATCTCGCGCGCTCAACGCGAGATCGACAACATCAGCAGCCCTCTCAATTCCAACAACAACAACAATAACACCAGCGGCAATAACAACAATAACAATAGGACCTAAACAACCTAAACAACGTTGTATTTCTCGCTTCCAGGCTTTAGTGAGTAGGAAGTTCCAAAATTTTACGAAATATCTGGGATGCTTGGAGAAAAGTCATTGTTGCGAGACACGTGGGTCGTAATTGAAAGAGCGAATAGATTGAACCACAGTTAACTTTATTAAATATCACTGTTTTACTGTTAGAATTTATAGAGAACATATACGAACATATTGAAAATACTTCTTCTTCTTTAAAAAAGAAGACAGTTACATAACTGAAAAGATACTAGTAATGTTGTTAACAAAATGAAAAGTTAAATTTCTCTAAACTTATGGACACATAAACTTAGAGAAAAATATTCATACTACATATTTATACTAAAACCTATATTCGTATTTTTGCTCTTCGCCGAAAGTGTGCACATAATACTTGATTAGTGTTTTTAAGATTACCGAATTTCTGCCTTACTCTTTTTTCCGAGCACCGTAGATACTTCGCCGTGCATCTCGTGTCGGACAAAGAGAGAGACACACACACAGAGGAATTATGTACATTGCGCGTAGTTTGTAGTCACACGCGACGAATTAATTAACTCGACTAAACGTGGTACACCCCACTACGCGAGAGGGGATGCCCTATTTTTTTGCGTTCAAAACGAATCCGGCGATTCTCCATACACACGCATACACACATACACCAGCGTCGAAGTACAAACGAAATTTTATATAGCTCTTTGACCAAAAATGTCGTGTGTTCGGCGAAGGAGGACCATTAATAAGATAACGATAACGTTGCGGGCGCGATGTTAGTCGTGGCGAGGAGGGGAAAGTCGGCGGTTCTCGTGCGCTGCGCGTCCGTTATTCCTGACTATATTTCCGGACCAACGTAATCTTATTATAGTAACTGATAATGTAGTGTCGAGACTAGTAACGGCGTAGGATAAAGCTCGCAAGGACTGATTTAAGCTCATCGATAGAGACGGATCGTTTCGCGAATGTACATAAAGAGGTGGCAAACAGTAGGCCGGGCAGCATTGATTATCGTACGCGTTAGTTTTATATTTATCACTCTCTCGGCATATAGCGGAAGGTTCTGATATATATTTAAATTATACGACTATACGGATTTACACACTTACGCCATTATGCACTTAATGAAGTACGACAAAATAGCGTAGTTAGAAGATAGAACGGAAAATAGAAAAAGGAGAAGAAGGAGAGAACGTGTGCGTGTTTGTGTGTATGTGCATGTACACGCGTACGCGTGTATGTGTGTATCTGTATGCAAATAAGTGAGAAAAGTGTGGGTGGAAAGATTTATATTTATATGATGCGTTTCACAGGGAGAATAGTAGAAAAAATAGACGGCTCTAGCTTAGTTCTCGGATTGAGGCTCTATCTTATGTAGAGCTGAAATAAGAGTTCCGCCGTTCTGTAGAATTCAAATGAAAGCCCTACGTTTCATAGAGCTCGAGCAAAAGCGCTCTGTTCTCGTAGAACGGAGGCTCTACCTTTGCAGAGCATAGAACGAATAGGTTGTTCCGCGAAAAAAATACGATATAGACGATTAAAACAAGAGATTCCTATTTTGATGTATCTCTATCGACTATCTGCTTCATTGGCAGCGTGGAAACTCCACGGTCGAAAGTAAAAATCTTATGCGATAAATTATCGATGTATTATTGCATTTAGATGACAAGAAATCAAATTACATTCTTGCTATCTTTCGACGATACAAGAGTCGTCTTTTCATTAGTGGTACTTAGATCAAGAAATTACTTTTACTCGTTAGGCTCGTCCATGTAAGAGACACTTTTCACTGATGTACAGCGTGACTCACTTAAGATGTTTGTCGCGGTCTCTATTCATTATTTTTATAAATCTTTTTAAACAAGTTCGTAGTATATTATATAAAATTAGTTTTGCTTTAATGATTGGTTAATTGATATTATTTTTAAGAAACATCAGAGTCGCTGTTTTGTTAAATATTTTAAGGAAAAGGAAGATGAAGGAAATAAGAAACGTATTCGGCGATGACGCAAGATTTATGTTGCAGTGATTGTGATATTTATTGTGGACGTAATGGCGCGAGATAACAATCGTGATAAATTTTGTGGGATGTTCAGTGTATTTGAATTTAGTGTACATTGAACTTCCAGGTATTACAAATTTGCAAATTCGTCTTTCTCGCTAATTCTTATGTACGATTCGTTTATGCCTGAACGATCATTGTAATTCACAATGGCGAAACAACGGGCGACATCTGTATTTATCGCCGTGTAATATCATCGTATATAGTCTCTGATTTTTAGTTATATATTTCTATGAGATGTCGATGTTTTGAATGGTATTGGTTTATGAATACGAATATCGTCAAAATTACACAACGTTGCGCGCGATCGGTCGAGAATTGACATCTTAAGTAAGCCTCACTCTACACACAATCATCATGTTATTATAATCCTCTTGACATCAAGTGATAATTAACGCAAAAATCCAGCTCGAGACACTTCTTCGCGTAATCCTAAGACTTCTAAGTTAATGTTAGATGCTCTCGAAAGAAGCCTGAGTATTCGTAGATAGTGTAACGCACTATTTCAGGGAAGTAGAGGGAGAGAGAGTTGGTGATCTAACGTGAGAGAGAGAGAGAGAGAGAGAGAGAGAGAGAGAGAGAGAGAGAGAGAGATGGGGGGGAGAGAGAGCTTAGTGATCTAACGTGAAGAACACACAAAGCATAGCAATACTAGAATTTAAGGTAAAACTACATAGTAACTGTACAAATGATCGTGGAGGGTGTCCGTTGGCCGATCTCGCGCGATGGAAATCGCCACGAAAAACTGAGCGGACCGACGCTTAGGAAAGAGAGTACTTGCGTTCTCCTCAGTGCTTCGTTGCATTCTTTTTTAAAAATTTTAGTTTTTAATTTTTATTTTTATTTTTTATATAATTATGCAACATCATTGCATTCCTCGCCGTCCAATCTACGTTTCGCGTGTTACGATAAAAAGATAAAGAATTAACGAAGAGGAACTCTTTATACGTTTCAAAACAGTATTCTTAGAAACGAACTGTCAGTATATGTTTCGAGTATTATTTGCGATTAATTATTCACGATAGAGAACAAGTCATCTTCGATATTTCCATTTTTATTTCCATTTTATTACGAATTATCTTCCGGCAGTGCGCGGAATACTGGTCGATTAATGTCTTTTGAAAAAGAAAGATCACTTGTACTTCGACTTTCACGTATTCCTACGCAACCTATGCATTACGCTCTACTGGAGAAACGAGGGATAGCATTTGTTTTGCGCACATTCACCTGTAAAGTTTGATCTACAATGTGTTTTTTGTTTCCTATTTCGTTCTCTTTATCTCTTTTTAACTCACATCTTAAGCCTTAAGTTAAAAATAGTCAGAGAACAAGAAGCAGATGCAAAAAGTATCCCTGGTGAAAATTGAAATTGGAGAGTAAATAAAGTGTAAACGAAGAGTGATGGAAGTGTAAGTGAAGCGTCTATAAAGCGTAAATTGAAACATCGGAACGTAAAGCAAGCGGATAGTAGTATACTAACCATTTACTTTACGTTCCGATGTTTCAATTTACGCTTTATAGACGCTTCACTTACACTTCCGTCACTCTTCGTTTACACATTATATACTCTCCAATTTCAATTTTCACCAGGGACATTGTAGATTAGGCTTAAAAGTTGCGGAATATTGATTTCGCGAACAACACTATCTCCACGAATAGAATGGATCGTTCTTTTGCGTGAAATATTCTAGAGGGAACTTTACATTACACGACTGCATATGAAGTATTATTTCACCCATAGTTCACTTCTCGCGAAAACGAGCCATCCAGCGTTTCTCACGAGAGCTCGACGATTAATTTCCGGGAGCGTCGATAATCACTCCCTGTGAGTATTGATTGTAGAGAAAGTTTCCAGAACTACATTTTCTCGTTTTATTTATCTTCCTTATTACTTCTTCTTTTTTCACTTTCGTCGTTCATGTGCTTCTGCCGACATTCGTTGTTTCGGCCTTACCATTCCTCCACTTAGAAACGTTAGTGATAATACTAAGCAGCTTGTTACACGCTGTCGTGCGACGAATTTTGCTCGTGTCCACAACGAATTTCTGCTCTTATTAAGTAATACGCTAATTGTACAATTAACGCGCGAGCGAGGTTCCATCGTCCGTAGTTTTAACTCTTTAATTTTTAATTAGCCATAAAAACGCGCGCGCCAGTCGAGATGTGAATCTTGACTTTATTAACAGGGATTAATTATTTTGGCAGACAAGATGCTTAGTTTGGCAACTAAACATATTCACGTCGATGCAAAGCCTAAACTCGACACGTTAATCAAAAATCTTAGTAAACGAAAGAAAGAGGGAGAAAGGTCGAGGGAGAGTAAAAGAGAGACAAAGAATAAAAGAAAAAGAAACGAGAAGATAATCGATGACTCCCTGCTTGTTGTGTATAGCGAGCGTACATACTTGCACTATATTTTGTAAAACTGTTTTCATAATCTCGTAGCGATGGTATCGGCCGATTGACTAATCGCCGAGAGCAGCTCCACCGTCACGGATGTTATTAATATTACTATATTTTACTTATAGAATATCGATTGTAATTTCGCAAAATACGGTATATTTTTTAATTATTGTATCATGTAATGTTACTAGCGAAATACGATATTTGACGGAAAATATATGTCAGCTGTATTCAACGCTCAACGCTTTTTCCTTCTCGTCCAGCAGTTATACACTTCGTTCATTTAATTATTTAATTATCAACCACACACATCGATATTGAAAAAAAAAGTAAGTTAATTTTCGTAGAGTAATCTATATTTTTTCACAGTATTCTGAAATAGATTTTTTTTTAGAAAAAACGGGAACAATTTCATTTGCTTCTACTGCAACGTATTTCGCTCACTACAAAAATATTGCAAGAATGTTCTTTCCTAATGAATTCCGGACAGGACAGAGAGAGAGAGAGAGGAGAGACATCACACTTTCTGCAAAGAGATAATTTTATTAACATTCATCATTATAAAACACGTTGGATTGCGATGCATTTAATTCACACGTTAAGGCTATGTCCTGCGTTTTAACAATGACGAATACATTAACGTCGTTCCACTTTTAATTTTCGATGTGTTTTTACATCTACGCCTATGAGTCAATAATGTGTAAATTAAGCTTTTATTCGAGATTTAACATTACCAAAGCTAGCAATAAACTACATGAGCTTCTTCTGGCAGATCGATGTTCTATATGGCTGTACAAAGTGTCGTATCGTCGATACGTCAAAAATTGTTGATACGTGGAAGTTCAAAGTAACTGCATCGTAGGTATAATTGTTTAAGTACTTAAATTAAAAATCTCGATGAAATTTCTCGTCAAAACCTCGCCGAAAGGAAATCGATCTCGGATTTGTCCGGAGATTTGTCAGTAGTTGAAATTAATATTAGTGTCTCTCTACGGTATATGTGTGTGTAAATGAAACGACGTCTCAGTATCGATTGTCAACAGGTGAGCTGTCGATTATGCAGCACTGCTGCTATATACGCGTTTAATACTCCTTTCTCCTTTTTAATACCGTTCGCGGGATTCTTCAACAGTCTGCACGAATTGAATAGAAAAATCAAAAGCGACCAACAACGTTTCGATCCCGTCGGCCCTCTGTATAACCATGATTTGATCGAAACTTTCTTAAATCAACGAAAGCCTCTTAATTATTTTATCACATCGAGCTTATTATTATTTAATCCTGTACGCTACGCTGAATATTATTATCAACATCGCGGAACATGCACGTTGGTTTGCGCCGTGAGCAGAGGCGAATTTCGCATTACATTACATAAAGCACAATTTCGCTAATTAATTCGATCGAAACAAATCGTTCCCTGCGACACTTTTTAACACGCGATCGACTAGTCAACGATTTTATTGTTTTACGCAACATTATATAAGATCGCGCATAAGCGAAGATCTAGCGTAAATAGTTGAAATATGTTTCCTCTCCTGAATCTTATGCTTCATACGTCGCCTTTTGCGTTAACAATCTCACATTTAAAATAGTATATCACTAGGCGACTACGCGAGAAATAATGCTTTCTCTTCTACAACGACACACTATTGGAAAATAAGTTTTATCTTTGTGTATATAACAATTTATCTCCCGAATCTGCCTAAACAAGTCGAGAGCCAACAGGATCGAATCACAAAAACCGCCGTAAATTTGCTTCTACTACGTAGAATCGCCTCGCGATAAGTTGCGTACCTGAGAGATCACCATTTAATGATCGACGTTATTTTATAAATAATTTCGCCGTACGCGAAGAAAAAACGACTATCTTACACGACCATCATGTCATCTCTCGTTGATTATTTTAGCACGCTAAAATTAGCTGCGACAACGCTCGAAGCAACTACCAATGTCTGATGATATTGAATCGATCTAAAGACTTTTCCCGGATCGCTGTGTGTTCGTTGTGAATAGTTAAATTAAAAAATAAAAGATAGCTAGTCGTCTTTCTACGTGTGTCTGTAATAATTATCAAACAGTCTCTGGCAGACGTCGGACATATGGTACACTTATTTGTGTTCATATTTTACGTTGAAAGCGAGAAGTGTCCGTTGTGATGTCACTTTCGACGTAACACCCGGCGAGTTCTTCTGAGCAGCTTAGAGTCGATCGCGATAATACGCTCTGATTGTAGTTACGCTCGCGAGAATTTCCGCTTAATGTTCATGTTTTCTCTCTCGATTTATATTCGCACGTGCGTCCTAGCTTGAATTTCAACACGATGAGTTTCTCTTCAGTCACAGAGTATTGGCTGGCTTCGCAGATCCCTGACGCCCCGCGCGGATTCTCGAAGCCCCCGATCTTCGATTTTTGTCGAATCTTTTTAAACCTCCCGCGTCAAGGACTACTTGACACTGAGGAATTTATTGTGATACGCGAATACATTCCGTGAGATTCTTGATTTTCGAGGAACTACGAGTTCTTATTTTTTCAGATTAATTTCCAATGAACACACTAACCCTCATCTCACTCGGTAGGAACGTTCATTAACACTAAAACGCTAAGAAATTCATTTGTCCATTTCGTAAACCATTGATTTTAGTATAACAGGACGGAAAGGTGTGTGCAAAGTATCCTATCCTCCTTGCTAGGCGCGATTCGTCACTTTAGGCTCCTCGAACTATATCATACAGCTGTATCTTATATAGCTATAACTACGAGTCTCTTAAATGTGAGCGCCGACTCTAAACCGATATACAAAATAGGCGCGTATAACTTTTGGTGTTCTGAACAATCTCAGCTTTCACTTTGCACGCGATGTACGACAAATTATCTCAGCGAATGAACTCATTGGAACTTGAAGACGAATTCTACGGTTGCCGTTCGATCGTTCCTAACATTATTTTTTTTCTCTTTCTTTTTTTTTCTTTTGTTTTCCAAACAGGAAATAAGTACGGCGATTCTAAATTTGAGCTTCTATTATCTATATGGACAGTGGCGCAACTCTGAGACATTGTGACTCTGCTACGGAAATCTAACTGGAAGCCTCATCGAAGGATGTAATGAATTTCAGCAAGCTATCCCAATATTTTACTAGCCATATTATTTTAATGCTGAATTCAAGAATTTTGATTGTATAATCGCTTTCTTGTGAAATATCTCTTCAATTTCCACATTTGTACTAAATTTTGTCTATCTGTCCTTATTTTTTAGACATTTTGCCTGAAAATATCATGGCGTTATGGCAAATCTCTTCTCATTCTCGCGCGGAGTCCATAAACGAACGATCAGTTACGCCACTGTCAATAACCACATCGCGGATTGTACTGCTCGAGATCTAGTCGTATTATGTACTACCAGCTACCAATCGTTGACAAAGCTCGGTGTACATTTGATTATCACTGCTTTTGCAAGCGGTAGTTGAGGGCAGTAAAACCTGGTGACCGACATTTCTGCAGAAATCACATATAGTTCATCGAGGTAACCGTGATAAATGGGGTAAAGATAATACCAAAGATATTTCCAACGCGCTCGTATTCAATCAAACAGGACTATAATAAACACAGTGAACTACATTTAGTTCCACGGATTCAATAAAGAAAGACAGTTGAACTTTAGCACAAACTCAAGTGCATTAAACTGCGGAAAGTTTAATGAAAGCTGTCGCACACAGAGGTGTGACAGTCGACTGAACTTTCACGAAATCTGTTTTAAGCGAGCACACCCACGCGCACGTCGCCAGAATTTCCGCAGGAACTTTTCAGAAAACTCGTGCGGAAACGCTCGAGGGAGTCTCTCTTCCGCTCGCTGTTCACTGAAGACACGACACCTCCGAGACATTTCCGCGACGCATTTCATGCAAGCTTACGGCCGTCCTAAATTCCCTTTTTGCAAAGATATCGGTCATCGTGTTTCGCATCCGAAGTCTTTAAATCGCGGCACGACGGGTCGGCAAGCGCGTGCCGGAAGTCTCGTCGGTCTCAGCGTCCGGCCCATCGCGCGCAGATACAGAAAAGGCATTTCGCACGGCTGTCGTATTATTGGCCAGAGCTGACGGACATGGTGTCACTGCCGGTGGACGCAGTGTCCGACAACGGAGGCGGCAACGGCGGCGATAACGGCGCCGTCGTCGCCGCCGATCTTAGCAGCTCGTATTGTCCTCGCGGTACCCGCACAGTCGGCGGCGATAGCACCATGTTCATATTCTCCGGCAACGGTGGAAGTACGTTGTTCTGGAACAGGCCGGACACGTTGCCTACTGGCTCGTAGTTCGCCACGACGATTAGTTTGCCGCTGCGGCTGCGCGCCTTACCGACTCCGAAGTAGCGGCTACTCGCCCATATCAGCTGCGTGAAGTGACCTGGAACGATTTTTTTTAACTTTATTTTGCTTTTCACATTTTTTCACATTAACTGTTCTCCGTGTGATAATCAATAGCGACGATAAATTCTTATTTTTCTGAGTCTGAGGTCGGTATTAATAGTCGTTGTTTGAAACTTACCGGATAATAGAAATTTCTAAAACATACTCTAGTTTCTCAGATGTATTTTAGAAAAACTTCTGCTTATTATATCCGGATTATTTCACTTGAGATACTCAGTTTGGATTTAGAGTTTAAACTGAGAATTTTTCAATTGAATCATGTGGAATTTTATTTGTAATTGTGATTGACTCGTGAGATATACTCACATCTAACTTTAAATTCAAATCTGAATGTCTCATTTGAGACAAGTTTCAAGTCATGATTATTACTACAAATCTAATATCTAAGAAACGTCTGAGCTTTAAGGAAGATCAATTATTTCAGCTGAGAATCTGTTGGGCTTTACCTGCGTTTACGTTAGCATGGAGAACGTCTGGCTCCTTGAGAAAATCATACTGCCTCACGGCGGAGTACCAGTAAGACGCGACTTCCTGTCCCGTGACGTCGCCGGGAACGGCACCGCCAGGACGACAATACAGATTATGACCCACGTTCCGGTCGTTCCTGTAGTAGAACGTGTTCGTGTGCGCCAGGTGATTCGCCCACGTTTGGGCGTACTCGCACAACTGCAACGTTATAAACGGTAACGTCGTTTTATCGATTCCTCCAATTTCTTTTAATAGCTATAATGCAAGTGACCGAATGTATTTTTCGACGTCTAAATGTATAACTGAATCGCAACCTATGCTAAAAATAGAGAGAGAGAAAGAAAGAGATCAATATATATTATCATTTAATATAATAATAAAAATATATTATCATGATATTCTTATATTATATACAATATATTATCGTTTAATAATAATATAAGAAAATATATAATATTAGAACGGATATCTGCACACTTGCGAGTATCCTGAACTTTTTATCGCCGCTCTATTTTTCGCCAAGTGTATTTTAAGTTTACGCCGTATAATAATATCGTAACGCTTTGTGTGTTTTTGCGTTTCTTACCTGAGGTGACATGGTCAACGGAGGTGCGTTGTGCCGTTGCCGATAAACGTTGTGCCAGCAAAGGCACTCGGTGATAAATTCGCTGTCACGCCAGTCGGTCTCCAAGTCGCTCCTATCGTGCGTGATACTCATCGGTCGGTTGCTAAGTATCTGTAAGAAAATTCGAAGGACGGAGTATGACACTTGCGAGGCCACGTAACGAATTCTACTCGATCTACCTGATATGCTACACGCGATATCGTATTACTTTGTCCTTGTGTTTCGATCTAAGGTGGCTCATTTGCCTTCTCATGTCAACGCGACGATCAATCCTCTTTGCGGAATGATTGTTCGTGAGGACAATTAAAATAAGAATTCCGCGTATAATTTTACATACAGAAATAATAAGTTTCAATATAAAAATAGCTCTTTGAATGCCAAAGTCAGATTTTAAGATTTTAGAGTTGCTAGAATTTTTAATTCTGTGTAAAATCTTCAAATTCTTGTATTGTCGAATTTTTAAATTTGCAATTCTGCAAATGATAACGCGTTTTTTTCAATTTTTATACTACTGACTTATCCAATCCTTGGGACTTTCAAGTCGTCGCATCTCTGGATTCTGAAAAATTTATATGTTCTGTAATCTTTGAATTTTCAAGTTTCTTGATTTTTTCTCTTATTGATCTTCGAATTTTGCAATTGCCGCCTTCTCGGACATTTAAACTTTCTAATTCTTTTCGTAAAATTCGAAGGATCTCAAAATTGATTTGAAGAATCCAAAAATATGCTATGGATCAATGCTCGATTTTAAAAATTTCTTCACATTCACAGAGACGCGAGGAATTCCATTCTGCGGAGAAAAAATCCCGTATAAATAGTCAAAATAAAAGTTCGCGAAACTGAAAGTTAGTTTAGTTAAACAGATCAGTAATACAGTTTTCCTAACTACATTTAGCGACAGGGCTGTCCGTAGGAACCCGAGAGATCGGTGCGCCGCTCCTGAATCCAAAGTATCGACCCAGGCACTATGCGCGCGTGCTCCTTCGTACTTTTGATTTCGTATTCCATTTCGAAAACAGTCGCATATAAAGCAAGCCAAAGGACACCAAGCAAATTACATTCTGCAGACCTAAGACATGTGGCGTGCAGCGTTCATTGTGTACGTCTAACTCTTCACTCGGATTGATAGGACGACGCGATCCTACAAGTGTTCTCAGCAATTTCATTTCGCAACTGCTAATAATTCCAACTAATTATTTCATCCATGGCACCCTCTCAGTCCAGGATCCGAGATAACAATCTTGATATAATTTCTTCGATATAATTTTGATTATTCTAAGAAGTTAAACTAATTTAAAGCATTTATATCTTCAATTTATAAATTATTTAAATTAACGAATATAATTTAATTGTAATTTCAATTAAATATGGAATCCTTTCAATCGACGTCTCGAGATAATAACCTTTATTCTTCGATATAATTTTGATTATTCTAGGGAGCCAAAGTAACTTAAAATATTAAAATTTTCAATTAATAAATTATTTTAGATTATCGAATATATATAATTCAATTGCAATTTCAATAGTATGGTAATTTCATAGTATGGTACTCTTTCAGTCGACGTCTCAAGATGATAATCTTTACCCTTCGATATAATTTTGATTGTTCTAAGAGTCAACGTAATTTTTTAAAAATTTAGGTCGATTTATAAATTGTATTAGATTATTGAATATGTAAAATTCAAAATTACATGATATCAATTAAGTAAGCTTATCAGTGAAGTCACTCCACTGTAAGTCAAACAAAACACGATTTTGCGAAATGATTCAAATATAGATTGCCTTACCTTTTTCAGGAGTTTCGGTCGATTGTCTAGCTGTTGTTGAGTCTGCTCGTAATTCAGCGAGGATGCGGTGGACATCACCGAATCGACGATCCTGTCCGCCTTGTACAATTTGCTCTGTTCTACCCTTTTCCTAAGATTCTCTAAAGCTGTCGCTTCTTCGCGCTTTCTGGAAGGCGGCCAGTTTGCGCTCGACGTGTGGATCATGCTGATCCCGGCACATGGTGAATCCTGACGACAACCAAAATTTGTTTATATTTTTATAGCAATAAGACATTATCTTACAGTTTTGTTATCGCAACGTTTACAACGTTTTGTCGTTTTGGATAAGATTTCCCACGAAGATTTATAATTTATGGTTTCCGATAATAATAAATATTCATGAATTATTTGAATGACAATAAATCGTGAAAATCAATGAATGTTTAAATTTCCGCGCTGTTGCAAATACATATGTACATATATACGCGATACGTACTAATTACAGAGAAATACAGAATAAAATAGAGAAATTAACAACTTGCGTTCACGTAATCTTGTGTAATACTCAACGTTGCGATGACTTTAAACAATAGTTTCTTTGTTGAAAACAAAAGAAATTACAACACTGACTGTCAAGTAGATACAAACGAGATTTTTAGATCCGTGAACAGATCTAATCAAAGATAAAAGAAAGAAATCTTAGCATTTCCACTTTATCAAGAGAATTCTCGGATCCGAAGACTCGCGATTCCCCATCGCAATTTCTGATTCGCGAATCTTTGAGTTACTGTAATCCTTGACCTCGCATTCGTAAAAACCAGCGGAAGATATTCTGCATAGTTAATAGGGCGAATTCCGAATCCCGAGAGATACAGCTGATCTTCTCGGGAATGACTCCCCGCGATCCTTTACAGCCGTCAAGGACCAACCTTGACGTGATTGCTATTGGGAAAATTGTAGTCCGAATGAGTGGCCTGGCTGAGCAATCGTCGGCTCACGGGGCATCGGTTGCGATTGATCATCTCCTTCTGCATCGCGTACTTGATGAAGTAGCTCTCGTACTCGGCGTTGTCGCGCTGCGGCAGGAGCTCCGTCGTCTCCTCCGCAGTGCCGTACGCGCGGTTCACCTCGCGCAGCTCCATCATCGCGGGCAGGCGGCGAGCCTCGCGCTTTCGTCTCTTCGAGATCGACCACGCTCAAGCCAGACCGAGCGCACACTGACTGCACCGTACCTCTCTCGCGCGCTTCGGGGCCTCGCGGCCACTGCGGACGTATGCGCGTTAAGTTCACCGCAAAAAGCGCACACGCGCCCTTCTCTACTGATGAACGCTGAAGAACGCCGCATGGGTGAACACGGCGATGATCATGGAATGGTACAGACAAAGGTCGATAAGCTTACAACGGTTGATGTTCTTAGCAACGCGTCGACGGTATCAGTCGGTATCTTAATTTTAAATTAACTGTGTGCTGATACGATGTACACTTATATATATAGTTTGCTGTCAAATTATTCACTAACAAAATAACTTTAAACGATATATGAATTGTATAATTAGGTCATGGAATATTAATTTATATTTCTCGTTAAATTATCTCTATAATTTTTACCTCTCTATTAATCTCTATTTTTCTTAGTATAATTTTACAAGTTTTCTAACGGTATATGTATCCATAGGAGATTTAATGTATAAATTAATAGTCCATTTAAAATCTTATAATCTGTAATTTGTATTTTTTATTGTTACATAAATACACATGTATTTAATCTTGGCTAGCATCCACATTTTCAGTCTGAAGACCCTTAAAGGATGCAACAGGGATGTATGTGACAAGGGTATACAACTTGTTTGCAGAATCCTCATCATCGTTTCTCCTTCTGCTCAGCCTTACGCGTACCCTAAAAGGGACATTCCTATGAAAAGAAAAAATAAATTAATTTTATACAATTAGTGTCGTAACATTTGATATAAGATATAACATAATTTCTTACAAAAATAAAAAAGTGTAGAAGTATTTTAAAAAAAGGATCTATTTTTTATCTCTGGCTATATAATGAATTGTTTATATATTATTATTTTATCTGTTTATTACATATTTATTATATATTTATATTTTAGTATGAGATAAAAAGAAATAGTACTAACATTTTCTATATAGACATATATACTCTCTCTCTCTCTCTCTCTCTCTCTCTCTCTCTCTCTCTCTCTCTC